TTCTAGAACATGCAAGTCAATTGCTAGTACCGTAAATAAAATCACATGTAGTATGTCCACTTGGATCCCGAAACCCCATCCAAGGTATAACAGTTTGATGCATTCCTTAGAAATCAGCTCCGTAGAGAAGTAAGCCACAATATCTTATTTATCTACGCCACAAGGAAATATATTAGCTACAGACTCGGTAAGTTAACGTATGCATGTAGTGTACGTGCATGTATAAAATACCGATATATATGTAAGAAATCCTTTTTCTCATGTCATAAAACATCTTATAAACAATCTGAAATCCTTTTTCCGTCTTTGGACATGTCTCATTTAGGTACTTCGTGGTTTCTATAACATATTTTTGACGAACCAAACTCTGTCCACGGACGCGCCCTACCGAGCCTCGACGAGTGCACGTCCGCACTTGCCCAACCCCGAACCAATACCATTACCGTATGGAAAACCAATGAAGCCCATCCTCATAAAAATCCTCAAATTCATGAAAATCCTTTTCTTTAAAATAATTTCAATCGCTATCGAAAACTCATAGCATCAAATACGTTTTCACGACTTAAAACATTATTCATGAGCTTTGGCATGCATATGCATTTTGAATGATAATACATGCTCGCAATATACGCAAGTGTATGTCCTAAATGATCGTGTAATCATGTCATGAAAACACGTATAAAATCGGACAAACATAACAAAGATAGATAACATCAACCCATATCAAGCAAGTGCAACCAATGTTGGTGCATCGGTTACCATAACCATAATTCTCATCACCAATCACAACTCAAGCATAACCATCATTCATTATTCATTGCATTCCATACATTATTTGGAAGAAAATACAATCACAAGCATAAGAGTAGGTGAATAATTACGTTTCACTTTAGTTTCATTAACTTACTCTACATTTTAACATTTTCAAATTATTTTCTTTAGGTTGCTAACTACCTTTTTGCATCTTGCCTTTACCAAATTAGGTATTAATTTATGTCCTAACTTAATTAGGTATTATTTCATTAATTAGGTGGTCCAATTTCGGTTTGCGCCTTAATGGGACTAAAATCCAATTTTTCCTAAATTAATTTTTCTTTAGATTTTCATGAACACTTTGGTTCTAAATCATCCCTTTACCTTATTTTGCACTTGAATGAATTAATTTAGAGTTTGGAACTTACTTTAAACTCGACTTTCCAAAATTCCTCATTTTAGGCCAAATATTTCACCATTTAAATTCCTAAAATTTTGTTCTCATTTTGCCCTACCATTTTAATAACAAGTAGCCTAAATATGTACTCACTATAAGAATTAATTTAATTAAATTTTAGAACCCTAATTCCTTCCCAAACCCGTATTGGGCCCTAATGGGCCGAAATTGGACCCAAGTCCATATAACCTATTTTCTTAAATTTTTAGCAAATTTTCCATTTCTACTCATCAAAACATGCTTATTTAAGTATGAATGACCCATCAAACCAGAATGAAATTGCTTTGAACTCAAACCCTAATTTGCTTAGTTTAAGCCGAATATAATTCATAAAAATTAGTGGATTTTTCTTCAATTAAAGTGTAATTTTTCATTCTTAAACATTAATTCATGCTCAAATAAGGCAGAATCAAGTGCCAAAACACCAATTAAATGAAAGAATTCAAAACCCTCAAATTTGGTTCATCAAAAACCATAACCTTAATTTTTCTTAATTGAGCAATTAAATCAAATCAAGCAATTAAACATGAAATTGACTTGAAATTAAGCATCCTTGTTGTGTAGGTGAGGTTAACTTACTTGATTTAGCTCCAAATTAACCTTGGAAAGGTAGGTTGCTTCAGAATTCTCTTCCTCTCCTTTTTTTCCCCTAAATTTGAATTAGCTCTTTCAATTTTCTTCTTGAAGGTATTCAGCTCCCAACTTAAAATTAAAGCTTAATCCACTGATTTAGAGGGTCTAAAATTGGTTAGGATTATTTTGGTAATTTTTTAGTGAAAATTTTGCTAGAGTTTCCTTTGTGTTTTTCAATTTTCCTTCCCTTTTTAATTTTTTCAGCACCCTTATTTATAAGAAAATTTTGTAGACCTGTTGCCCTTATCTCCACCCTTAATTTGGGTAAATCTCGGTGCTTTATTTAATTTCCAATCAATTCTTTTTATTTGGCTAAATTTTTGGCCATTTGTTCTTAGTTTTGTTTAAGCCCTCGATTTAGCTTAATTTTATTCAAAAAATTTAATGGAAGTCAAAATTAATTAATTCTTTAGGTCGACCAAAGTTGGAAGGAAAATGAAAAATTTTGGTCCTCCAAGTTTCTAGACTTTTCCATAGCCTATTCTTTGCTAAATCCCCCTTTTATGTAAAAAAATCACTTTCCTCCCTTTTCCATTTTTAGGAATAATGTTTGACCCTTAAAATTCCTACATAATTTAATTTGGATTATTAGACTTTTAATTTTATGCAATTAAGTCCCTAATTTTAGACAATTTAGTCCCTACTTTTAAAATTCCATTCTACACTTTTCAATAATCCAATTTCTTTCCATAATAAATTCAAAAATTCATTACGGGAGTTTGATTTAAATTTTCATAATTTTTGGCTCTCATTTGGGCCCCCAATTTATTTATTTAGTGTGAAAATTACACTATTTTCTATAAAAAATATTCCCTATACTTATTAAAATTATTTTAAATTTTCTATGCATTCTCACACATTCCATATGATTATTCTATGCTCTTAAAAAAAATTCCTCATACTCTTAAGGTGCCTAATTAATTTTTTTACCTCTAAAAATACTATTCCAACATACCAAAATTCAAATAAAATATTCATAGCACATAATAAAATTCACCCAATCATATAAAATAATTCAACACCCCTCTAACAATTATTCTAAGCACACAAATTATTTTTCATTCATAAACAACATTCTGTAATTAAATATTTAATGCAAAAACTACTATTCATGTACCATAAAATCAATAAAATATGCCTTAAGCATAGAAAAACTATTTTAACTACTATATATATTCGTTGAAGTTCCTAAGGATTATTTCAGACTCTTAAAATATGTTTCCCTTGTTTTTAATATTCAATTTTTATTTAATTTCAGTTTTAGCGGGTACCGATTATTATACTTTGGCTTCTCTGTCGAAAATAAGAAGGCAAAAAATACACATTGAAAGAACACAAGAGCATTAAATGCTCAATCTAAAAAAAGAAAAATGGAAATGATGAAAACATGCCTAAAAAGAAAATTCAAAGGAGATTCAGTCAAGAGTAAAAATGAAGTTTCTCAAATTCTTTGAGTGGCAAAAGAGAAATTAACGAAAAGCAAGAGGCGAAAAATCAAGCAACATATATTAAAGTTAATAGAACACAATAAAAATAATTTAAAATTTTATTCTAAAAAAAACTGATTATATCAAGAACAAGGTAAAGAACACTTGAATTCTATTATTTGTTAAAAAAATATTAAAAATTCTTGTATAGAGAAAAATAAATCATATTTATTAACAAATAAAATTTCATAAAAAAATTGATTTGATGAGAATTTTTATTATATACGATAAAGTTAAGAGATTAATTTTAATTAATAAAAAAATATAATATGATATATGTGTTTGTTCTAAAATTTAAAAACATAAGAGGCAAAATTTTTTTTAAAAAAATATGAGGAACAAAAAATATATTTTGAAAAAAAAATGAGGTAAAAATAGACTAAGTTAAAAACATGAGATGTCAAAATATTTTTAAAAGTATGAGGATTTAAAAATATAAGGGATAAAAAAGAAATGGTGTAAAATTTGAAAATGAATGCAAAAAAAAATTATAAGGAAATAATGAAAATGTCATAATAGAAAATCACAAAAATGCCCCCTTTTGAAGCAATGAATTGTAATGTGAGATAAATGAACAGTAAATTACTGTTCAAATAAACAGAAATTTACTGTTCATTTATCCCAAATGTTTTAGTTTTTAAGTTGATTTGGTTTAAGTACTGTATAAATCAAATCATCATATTTTGAGAAGTGAATTACTTTTGTCTCCCTCGTTTTAAAACCTAAGTATTTAGTTTGTTAATATTACTTTGTTTTGAAAAATATTATTTTTTCTCATCATGCATTCCATTTTTTTTCCTATTTCTTAAATGAAAATCAAAATAACTTGAAAAAATAAATTATAAAAAATATAAAAGCTAAGTAATTAGTTTTTTACATAAGAAAGCTTAATTAGCTCTTTTTTTTTAACTAAAAAAAACTAATTTATTGTTCACTCGTGTAAACATCTCATTATTTTTATTTTTCGGTAGATATTAACCTAATAGTAATAGATTTACTCAATTGCCGTTAATTATTATCCTTGCGCATTTGATTAAGTCACGGGATTAGTGAATAACAAGCTTAAAAGTTATCTAACGGCTAGCATCAAAGAATTTATAATCAATACCTTGCCACCCTAAATAGAGATCGAAGAAAAATCAACCTCTTTTCGGGAAAGCCACTTTTACACCACACATTATTGTGACAAGACACCTAGTGGGCCTCCTTATCTTCTGCATAATACAGACAGTTTTGCTTCATCTGGCTCCATCTACTGGTGCTTCAGACACCTTTCTGAAATTAGAACAAGTGGGCTCCATCAATACCCAGAAGAGAGAGACTGCGGGGACACCTTAACTTCTCCATCGTCGGGTACACCAGACCAATATAGCATCTTGTTGGGCTATTAGGCCCATCACTAGCCCACACATCCAACTTGGCCCCATCTCATCAACATTGAACGCCACGTGTAAAACACCAAGACTTTCGGAGGGAGAGGTTCACAATTCAGGAAACTGGTTTGCTTAATTTCGATTAACTTCTAAGTCACAAAATAATCAATCCATTATTTTCATTGCAATCACGGACAGTCAAATTACAAAGCCATTCTACAAATAACAAACCCGTAGAAACTCACACGGCAAAATATTTCCACGACACAAATGTTAAAGTAAAAAGAAGAAATAATATTAGTCATGTACAAGTTCCATCCCAGAGGAATAGGAGCCCTCCAATATATTCAGGAAAACTCTGCAGGAATCAGTGTGCACTGACAAGAAATGGGTGTTGACATACTCCACACTCGATAGTTTCAGAGCCAGAGCTGGGAACCTGAACCTGCATAAAAAGCACAACAAACATAATTAATAGTCCAATTAACGTAATTAATAGAAGTTCAAATACCAAATCAAGCTGGGATTTCGAACCTGCAAATGGACAGTGCAAGTTGGACAGGCAACTTCTCTCATCCGCTTCCCAGATCCTTCGGACTTGGATCCTGAAAATTCAGACCATTAAAACCAGAACCCTATGTTACAGATTCCTGATGGAACATGAAAATGGCATGCTAGAACTTAGCCCAGAACCCCAAGATAAATCATATAGCTCATAAGGACAACACATCTAAAAACGGTTGAATATTTGAACCTTTTGTTATGGTGTGAACTATTTCTTCCGTTATTAAGTTCCGACACCTACAAGTAAAATTAAATTTGAAGTAAGAAGATCACCTGATGATGACTTGCGATTTTTCTCCATCTCCTCCTGTCAAATGATCAGTGTCAATAAAAAATCACAATCACAAACGCAAAGGCACATACAGGTCTTCTACCAACTGAACCAGAGCACAAAGAATCAATAAAAAATCACAATCACAAACGCAAAAACACATACAAGTCTTTTACCAACTGAACCAGAGCACAAAGAATCAGATCATAAGGATAAGCATATCAAGACAGCTTAAGTTGGATATCATTTACCTGAAGCTTCTTGGCAAGATCCTCGTGACTACGAATCGCTGCAGGTTTGCTAGTTGCTTCCTTAGCATTACTCAGCCTCTGCGTCACTTCTGCCTGAAAGATAGCAGAACTTTGTGAGTTGTTCTTTCAGAAAGTAAATGAGACCACCATGATTTAAGCACATAATAATGTTCAGGCAGAAAGTGTGACAGCTGTGATGTGCACATATCATATGCTTGTGCAACTACCTGACTAAACATAATTAAGCAGAATCACATCCCCGTCTCCCAAGCCGAAATAAAACCCCGCCACTTTCTATAAGATAAAAGCACAGCCCAACAAGCTTTCTTAAGAAACAATAATCACAGCATCTATATCCTATGCAATCTCAGGAAGCTCGTATGAGCATATTACAATATATATATAGGTTAACTAAATGTAACTGTGCCTGTAATGCACCACAAAGTTCCTTTACAAAGGGCAGCTGGCAACAAATAGTAGTTGAAAAGCAAATGAACTATAATAAACTGCTATGACGTCCAAGTACGTAATTCAGTTCAAAAAATCCCAACACCTCACTAGCATGCAAGCGATCCCATTTAAAATTGAGAGAAAACAGTGGGGGCCAAAAAATTCCATAACGCTACTAAAAGATAAGAATGTTTGGATTTGTGAAATAGTAACAAATAAGTAAAGGATAGATCTTCAGTACGCACCAAGCATCGGTCACAAACTCTAACTGGCTGAGCATTCTCATCAGCAGTAAGAGCAATTCTTCCATGGGTGCACTTGTCACAGAAAATGTCTCCACAGTTTCTGCAGTGATGCTGGGATTGAGAAAATGGAGAAGTATTAGTTTTACAGGAAATCTGAAAGCATGAATAAATAGAAATACGGTTGATCCAACCATGGGAAACAGATTTACCCGACGAACAAAAGCCCCAAAATCTGTTCTGCATGATGTACACTTTGAAACAGCTTCATCAGGGACCTGAGAATGAACAATATTTTAAGAACTCCAGAATCAAAATTCACAAAAGACTAAAAGAACACCCCCCCCCCCCTTTTGTTTTTCCAAAAAACAAAAGAAAACCCATGCTTGTAAAATTGGAAACGATGGTTACATAATCTACAATAAATAAAACACGTGTGTGATTCCATTTAAAGCAATCAACAAAATAAAATCTATATTAAAGCCATAGTTTTACCCAATGATCTTTCTCCTCACTGCCTTGCTTCATCAAGTTCATCCAATCGCCAAACCCTTTCTTCTTCTCTGTAGGTTGCTCAGTTGTCTTTGAAGCATCAGAAGGCCTGATTCTTTCAACCATTTCTTTGAGCTGCATTTTTGGAAAGAATGAAATTATGCTTCACCAATACACATCAACAATCCAAGGCAGAAAAAATGCAGAGTACAGCTGCATTCATTTAACAAACTGACAAATGAAGAGAGTTGGTAAGCCACACAAAATTAGAAAAATGTTGCTCCATCACAAAATATACTTATACACCCCACCCCCCCCCCCTCCTCTGAAGAAAACACTGACTCAGACCCCAGAATGCTACCAATTTCCTTAGATCAGCCAGTAAACCAAAAGCCGCCACCAGACTGACCACACAAATCTCAAATAACGGAACCACAACTTCCCTAAATGACCATCCCCTTTTCAATCTGGTTCCACCTTGTAACCAAGAAAGCAAACTCCATACACAAACTCTAAAGCATTCTGTCATCTCCCAAAGGAGGCAACAGAATCCTTATCTCATATATAAATGCAGGAAACCCATTGACATTGATCAGACATATGTTCACAAGCCAGATGACGCCCCAGGCACCAGAGGGGCAGGGTCAGTGCACACCCTCAATAGTTGTAGGGCCTACAGGAGCAAAACATAAGCTGGGAATTTTTCCTCACAGCCCAAAATGGATACTCATTGCTGCCACATGATTCCTTAGCTTACATGAGAAGTGTCCCACCAATGTTGGATATTACACCAGTAAATCAGTCACGTAGCAACAACAATAGGAAAATGAAATGCATGCGCTGTCTTTTACGTGACAGCTTTCATGTCCGTAGCCAGTGTCAACATTTCCATTCAAAAATGATGTCAAAAATCTGGCAGCAGTTTTAAGATTTCAAATACTAATGAGTATTTGTACAAGTTCTATCAACCAGGTTTAACATTCTCATTTCAATCAATGCTTAACCTAAATTCATCTAGTATATAAAGAAGCTAAATTTTGGAATTTTTATTCCAGGTCCCTTCCTCTGAATACAATAGATTCATCATTCATGCCTCGGTTTTTGGCTTCTGTATTTGAAACAGATATACTACCAGAACTCAGCAACTAATGCAATGATAATGTAATGCAGAATGAGTCAAGACATAAGTCGATGCTTAGGCTTTTAAAAAAGGAAATGTAACCAAAATACAATTACAGTACAAGAAAAATGTTTCTTGTGGCCACAAAACCTGTACAGTTGCAGCAGTCACAGTGTCAAGAAGGGTGTTGGTGGTGTAACTGTTTGATTGCAGTCTAATACGTCTTGGCTCAATGTCCACAGAACTCTTGGACCAAAATGCAAAGGTAGATGAATCTGTTTTCTACATAAAAGGAAAGTGAACAATCAATATTAGCTGTAGATTAACAATGATAGTACACTCAAGAAGAGAGTGAGAGAGTGGAGGAAATAAGCTGACTCACATCGCATCTTGTGATGTTCTCAAGAGGATATATTCTCAAAGTTCGACTGGTATTGGGATCGAGCATACGAATTCCATCCAAACCAATCTGAATGAATTTAAATACAATCATGAGTACAAAGCGCAGAAACAAATAAAACCCAAATGACAGTAAGAAAAAGTAGTAATATAACAGTAAAGCAGCCAAATCCTTATCATCGATATGTAACAGTGACCTTCAAAACTGCTTGAGACTCAAGTACATATAATAAACACCCTTAAAATGAATGTAACTTGTAGCTAAACATGCAAAAGAAATGATTACCTCCGTGAAAACACAATCCAAGGAAAGTTCCATTTCAATTCCGCAACTTAGAGGTCAACACGCACAAGACTTGATTAGCTTGTTGAAATCACAATCGACCAAGGAAAGTTCCATTTCAATTCCTCAACAGTTACAATCATTCAGTGGAAGAGTAAGAGGAGAAATTCTAAACCACTCGTTATTCAATATACTCCTTGACTGAGCTTCTTTAGCAGTTAGCCATATTTGTCAATTTACATGTTCGACATCAAATGATACCCAATGCACAGTCAAACAGAACATTACAGAGTTTAAAACTACCAAGCATGTAAAAAAAGTCCCTAAATGGTGATTATTTTTTTCAACAAAAACCCACTCTGCCATCAAATTAATCATTCTAATCACTCTACAAATCTTTAAAACCAAAATAAACAATTTCATTATAAACTCAGATACCTACCTGGCAAAGCACATCCATAGTACTCTGTCCTCCACTTTCAGCCAAAAGCTTAACTCTAAACTTCTGGACCCCACTCTTAACATCTTCCTGAGCCTCCACCTTCGGCACTGCCCTCACAATCTTCCCCGAGCCTGAACCAGAACTGGACCGCGCCGAATTATCCTTCCCAGACGGAACACTAATTGATCTCCCATAATCATCGAACCCAGCCCAGGTCGATGATTTTGGAGCTGTCCCTCGTGCTCCATAAGGCTCAACCTTACCTCCTTCATATGCATAAACACCATCTCCATACCCATCATCACGGCCGCCACCAATATCATATCGGCTCTCTGGTCGCTTTCCATATAGATCAGACCCTATATCGGACCTGCTCCGATTATAACTGTCCAAATACCCGTAATTCTGATCGAATTTCACCGGATTCTCGTATGGAGTATCGTAGACAGGTGGGACTGATGATCCTATTGGATTATAAGGCGCGCTGTACGTCGAGGAGTATGGAGAATTAGTTGTTGCGATAGGATTCGGTGCTATTTGAGAGGTAGGAGGCGGTGGTTGAGGAGCGTAATTGGAAGCCGTTTGATGTTGATCAAAGGGTGGGAAATAAGATTGCTGAGTTGCTGGAGGTTGGTAAGACCCATGGGAATCATAAGGTGGAAAAGACGGTGGTTGTTGTGGTGGCAGCGGTTGTGGTGGATTGAAGGATGATTGTGAATTATTAGGGTTTGGCGGTGGGGTTGTTGGTGTTGTTGGCGTGTATGTAGGGGCTGTAGGTGGAGGTACAGGATCGGAATTTTGAGAATAAGGAGGATAATTTGGGGGATAAATGGAGTAATCGGAGGAGAAAGGTGGTGCGGATGCGTACGGGGTTTGGTGATGATCAATCGGAGGATTAGGGTTAGGGTTGGGGTTTTGGAGGTGTGGATATTGAAAGAAAGAACTGTAATCTCCTTGTTGCATCGCTAGATTTGATAGGCTTTTTGTCACAAAACGGAGAATTGGAGAGGAATTTGGGTTATCTTCGAGGCGAAGACGAAGATGGAAGTAAGCAGAGAGAGGATAGGACGGGGACAGGAATAATTTAGTGGAAAGTGTGTTGGGTGTGGTTTCAGACACGGAAATTATGTTCCCAAGCTTTGAATAACGGCCACGATGCTTTCCCTGAAGAGAATGTAAGTCGGTTCTGTTGGGACCCGCTTTGATTGATGAAATGATCAACGCTTCCATATCGGTTTCTATTTGGAGGAGGACTCTAGGTTTTTTTTTTTTTTTTTTTTCTTTTATATAATTTCTTCAAGTAAAGAATAAACTATAATTTATGGTTTATCAAACCATAACAAAGAAAAATGTGTAAAATTGATTACAAATAATACAAAGAAATTGAAATATTTCATATTCATTAAAATAGATATGAATTTCTCAAAAAAATTAAAAAATTAAAAATATATAGCGTGGATAGATATAAAAATAAAACGAATGTTATTTTTTACTTATATATAGGTATTTTGCAAGTAGTTTTTGTGAGAAAATTTTTATTTTAAAACAATTTTTATTTATATAAATGCTTACATATCGTATTTTTATTAACTATTTTCTATAATCATGTAATTTTGAAGTTCAATGACGAGAGAATCTAATATTTTTATTGTGGAATGCATTTTATGTACATACCGTTTGAAGCTTAGTAACATAAATACCAAGTATCAAGCAAAGATAAAATATGAATATTTAGGCATGTATGCTATTGAGAAATTAGTATTTTATTAATTATGTAAAATCACAAAAAGAAGTTCATCCATATTATTTTTTATTTCCTTCGTTGATTAGAAAATTTCAAAAATAGAAATATCATGTTATTGAAACAATTTCTTTCATTTTTCTCGTTCTTTTATTCCCTGTGCTTTATGTTACATCTCTAAAGTGAAGTCTTCGTAAAATTTCATCGCTTCAATAAAGTCCCTTATTTATCAATATTTTATTTTTTATGTTTTTGCATTTCAGTCCATTTACTTTCACTATCACATTTCTCGAACCTTTATAGTTTTGCTATTTCAACACAATCCCTTGCTCATCTATGCATCCCATCTATTTAAAATCTGGTATTTTAAATTTTTTTATGCAAACTTAAAAAAAATAATCAATTCTTCCCTTGTGATGATGTACGATCACCTAGTTTTCTTATGGATGTTTAGCAATTTTTCTCAGTTTTTTAGACTAAACTAGACCAATTCATCGTTTTTTTAATTGGATACACAAGGCATACACATTTATTTAAAAAGTTTTTTATATATACAAAGATTTAAATTCGGTATTATTTATTTGAATGATTAGAGCTCATTTTGCTCAAACCAATCCTCTTAAGTATTGTTATATATATTTTACTCGTTATTTAACAATATTACCAAATAAAATAATAATTATTTAATGTTAATAATCCGTATCCATGATTTTCATTTAAACATTTAATTTTTATTTCTCTTTTTAACAAAATCCTATAATAAATCTAATATAATAATAATATTTAGATGATTTTCATCTTAATATTCGATTTTATTTCTCTTTTTAACAAAATCCAATAGTAAATTTAGTAAAATAAATCTATTTAGATAATACTAGCATATATCCCACGCGTTACCGTGGGGTGAACTATACAATATTCTTATGTGTTCATTCATATAAAATACAAAATTTAAAAATAATTATGTAAAAGGATCACGTGAAAAAAATTTGGAGTGAGTTATACAATATTCTTATATATTCATTCATATAAAATACAAAATTTAAAAATAATTATTTATAAGGATCACGCAAAAAAATAAAAAAAAGAACCAAAACATATATCTTATATTTTACCGTGGGGCTAGCTAAATGAAAAGCTCGAAGTAAAGTTGAGCAATATAATGTTGCTAATTAGATATTGTTTGATATAAATATGTATTTTATTATAAATATATATAATAATTGATAATTAAAATAATAATGTGGTAGTTTTTTGAATTTTAGATGATCAATTTTTACCTTATATTATTCATCTATAATTTGTTAATGAGATAGAGAGACCACCCAAAACAAAAAGACAAAAAACTTTATCAAATAGAGAATTTGACAAAAAAAAAAATAGAGTTAAAATTACACATGATTAAAATTAAATGATCAAAACAAAGTAAAGATCATAAAAAGTAAAAATCATAAAAGAATGATAAAAAAAAAAAACTTTCACTAAAAGCAAAAAGTAAAACAAAAAAAAAAACTTATAAACAATAAGACTATGAGCGAGTTTTATTAAAAGCCAAGAAAAAAATTTATTATAGGGAAAAAAATCAAATATGATAAAATTTTAATATTCATGATAGGGACAAAAAATCAAATATAATAAAATTTAAATGACTAAAACAATAAAAGTTTACAAAACGAGAACTAAAATAAAAATAAAATTCACTAAAAGCCAAAAAAGGGATTTAAAAATACGGGAAGAGAAAAAATGATTTACTATAGGAATAAAAATTCAATATAATAAAATTTTAATGGTCAAAATAAAAAAATTACAAAACGAGGATTAAAATAAAAATAAAATAAAATTTTAATATTTATTATAGAGACAAAAATAAAATATAATAAAATTTTAATAACCACGATAAAAAATTACAAAACATGGATTAAAATAAAAATAAAATTCACCGAAAGCCAATAGAATAGCTTAAAAAATGCAACAAGAGGAAAAAAACTGATTTATTATAATAAAATTTTAATGACTAAAATAAAAAAAAAGTTACAAAATAGGGACTAAAATGTAAAATTAATTTAAAGCGAAAATAGAGGCTTACGAGCATCAAGAGAAAGAAAGGGAAAAAAAAAAAAAACGGGGTTACAAGCAAGGCAAAGCAAAGGGGAAAAAAAGAAAGAGAGAAAAAAAATTAACTCGAGCTATAGGCAAGACAAGGTAAAAAACAAAAAAAAGCATGAAAAGTAAATGAATAGTAAAAATGCTACGAGTATATTAGCGTTTGGTTTTACCTTATGTTTGGATATTTCCTCTTGAGAAGAAAGAAAAGAGAGGAAAGAAAAATAAAATGAAAGAAAACTATTTTTTACTTGTTGTTTGGATAAGAGTATAAATGAAACGAAAGAAAGTATATCTTCCTTATTTGGATAATTGTAAAAAGATGAATGAAAGAAAATATATTATTGCATATTTACTATAATACCCCTATGATTACATTTCTATATTTAAATACATATAATAAATTTGTATGAATATTTTTTCATTAAAACTGCATAAATGATAATAAAATAAAAATATAACATGTAGCATCTATCCGAAATGACAAGATGGATAATGAATCATCTCCATAGAATAATCGATAATTGTTTACTAATTAATTAATTCAATAGCCAATTTAGATTAATTATCAACATAAAATTAATTTAGATATGTATAACATGTATTATTATCTATGCATATAATAAGTTAGTTGCTTTTACCCATAATTTTCTCGGCTTTTTTTATTTTGGATTAAAAAATTACTATTTAGCAATCCAAAAAAAGAAGAAGTTTATTATAACATTGCGAACAATCATGGAAAGTCAATTGAATCACAAAAAATGAGACAAATTGCATATTTGGACAAACGGACATAGCCCATTACTCGAGTGAACACTCCAAATTTACAATAAAATTTGCGAGTTTTTGAAAGCCCAAGGTAGCTTTTGTTGCTTATTTTTCCGTAAAAAAAAACTCAATTAAAAGCATCCTATAACATCATGTTGTGGCTTCCAACGATCCAACACACGAAAATATGTTTACCATTTTTTTTAATAATAATTTTTATTCTTTTTATTTTGCATTAACTCCAAAAAGTGTTCAAAAGGTCGTTTTGAGGGATGTTTTGTGTCTAATTTGGTGGTTTTTTTAAGGTTTTTTTAGGTGGTTTTGAAGTTGGTTTGGGGGTGTTTTTAAGGTCGCTTTGATTGTTCAAATGGATTGTCCTAAGGGGTTGGTCCGTAAGGGTTTTGGGGGCTATTGGTAACAATTTCGAGTCCGATTTTGGGAGCTTTTGGTAGGTGTTGGGTTTGTTTTTGGAGTTATTTTTTAGAGTGTTTTGGGGCTTGTTTGTAACTTGTTTGAGGGCTGGTTTTAGGCATGTTGAATATGTGTTTGATGGTCTGTTTTAAGGGGTGTATTTTTTGGGTTATTTTTGGGGGTGTTTTGGGTGTTTGATTTTTGTTCAATCGTGCTTATTGATTGTCTTTTGAATTGTTTCCAACCCGTTATTTTTCTCAATTAGCTCTCGTCTTTGAATTAATCTAAACTATACATCCTAATTGCTCTTTTTTTTTTTCTATTTTTTCAATTGATGGTTATCATTTTTTATTTGTATTTTTGTAATACCGAAAATAAATAAATAAATGGGGGCAAAAATTACATGCAAACACTACATATAATTAGGTAAGTTTTAGGATCAATTTGTACATACACATTACGGATAATTATGAAAGTCTTAGCATCAATTTATTCTGCTACGACAATCAAGTTATACGAGTTTCTAGTTAAGTCATTATAATTTAAGACAACATTCACATATAATAGATGCTAAATACACTTAAAGATCACAATACAACAAAAATTCAAGTGTGGTTTGAATAAGTTCACTTGCAATCTACTTCACCATTTGATCGGGCACACAAGTAGCCTAGCTACAAAAAAAAAGAAGGAAGCGAAGTGTACATTGAGCAACAATATGAAAACGAGTTTGCAAGTTCAATAAATTTGAAACAATTGATAAAGCAACAAACTATACTCCAACTTGTGTATAATTAATTTACTTTGATCGATCACTTCTTTCAGTCATCATCTGTGTTAGAAATTAAAGTCTTCTATGACAAGGCAACCCAAAAAATTGTCTTGTAAGTGACGGATTATCACCCAAAAAGCGATATGCACTCATTTGGAAAGCTAGGTTGCAATCCTATCCTTTCAAGCTCGGTGAATATCATCATCATGAAATTTTTTTTGACATTCCCTCTCTAAAATGCCCAATGACCTTTGTGCAATGATTATGGATAGCGAGTTACTTCGCTCTTATAATCAACTAAAGGCGAGGATTTAGTAAGTGAAATTCCATATGAGATGGATTTCTTAAGCACGTATCAACCTCTTTGGATTCAATAATGCAACAAAATTTATTGGTAAAGAGAATTTATCGGTACAAAAATGTACTAATATGCGTAAAACAAAATTTTGTTAATGAATGACATAAAGAACAAAAACTATTTGGTACATATCAAACCTCCGAGACTTTTTTTTTAAAGCTCGAGTCGATGAATTTTAGTTTAGGTCGAAGTAGAAATGGCATTACATAAAAGGATAGCCAAATCGATAATGATGGAATCCATAAACTCGTAAGATTCTCGAAACGAGTCACCGACGAGTGAGTGGCCACCTTCCGCCTTATCTTTATGATAAAATGATCCCGGCATTGGTAAGAGTATACGATAATTTTCCAAATAGAATCAATCAAGAAACTCCTCTTCTTTGTTCCGAAATCTCAAAATCAATAACTTACATTAGAGTTTCAAACTCCTCTCATCAAACTTCAATTTCAAATTTACTTCTTATAATAGTCGTACTTTAATAATCGACGAAATCTCAAACTCGATTTGTACTATACCAATTGAAAAACTAACAATAGCAACAAGTTCTACGAAGTAATGCGCTAATCAATACATTTGATCATATAAAAATAATAACGCAAGTGTTATAGAAATAAGAAGAAACGAGAGGAAATACTAACCTAATGTTTTATAAGGGAGCAATTACGGCTTTGGTCATAGCCCTCGCTAAAGCCTGGTCGAGAAACTCGTCGACTTCTCTACTCCTCATGAAATCCCGAGTTTTTACATTTCAAAGTGTTCTTTTTAAAATTTAGAAAGATGCAAAATGAGAACTTTCCATTCCACTCATTGAATTGAAAAATAAAAAAGAAAAAAGACGAAGGCTTTACTTATATTTCGAGTTTAAAACAAATGGGTTTTTACTTTGTTAAAGAGAAAAATAAAGAGAAGATTCAAAATATTCTATCCAAAGTTCATTTATTTACTACATAATTTTCCTTTTCTCTCGTTGCTTTTAGTTGCAACTCACAACTCAAGCAAGAAAAGAAAAAAAAACATATAAACAATAAAAAAACAATACAATTTGAAAAAGGAATGAAAACCGATGATGATGATAAAATAAAAAGAGAGGAGTAGGAGGCACATACTCTAAAGCAATCTTGAGATCGGGGAGTTGAAATCGGAGCTAAAAAGGAGCAAAAGAAAGAGGAGAATGTAGAGAAATAGGATCATCTAGCTCCTTGGGAAGCACCATGGTAATTCCACCGTACACGTCTCCAAAAACCCCGCCCTTCTTCTTTTGCGATTCGGTTTCAAAATCCATCGTCAAAATTCTCTCCTATTTTTGGGTTCTTTTTCTTGTTAGGGAGTACAATATTTTTGTAGCTTGTAATGCAACTATGATAGTATTAGTTTTTGTAGCTTGTACTTGCAACATCCAACCGAAGGAGTCCGGCTTGATTTGCGGATCTGTTTTATTACTGCAGAGTAGAAAAGAAGGAGGACGACCGAGGTAGATAAAGGCAAAAATGGGAAAGAAAATGTATTTTGGTGATTTAAACATTTTTTTTTTAGTTTTTTTTCAATTTTGAGAGGAAAATGAGTCCTACCAAATCATCATTTATTTATTATTATTTTTTTCTTTTCACATGTTTTTTTTTTCAAAACAAACAAAGAAAATTTTTCTTCCTACCCTCGGTGCGCACTAGGCCCACCTATAACAAACGAGCTCCGAAATAAGGGAAGCTAATTGGGCCGGTAGTAGCCCCAACCTAAACGCTGGGTAAGGATATATACACGTGGCGAATGCCCAAAATGGCTCGCCTATCCGCATGCCACATCGGTAAAGTCAGCTAGTCCCACACCAGCCGAACCAGATAAGGCCAACTGACTTCCCGAAGCAAGGGACAACCTCTACGAGTCATCTGATTCTCGTCAAAAGCCAAATGGGGCCCATAATCCTGAGTCCAAAGCATCCCATCCTTGATATCTTGTACACGTCAAACCCTTTTTCTTGTTTTTTTTTTCCCTAGCCGTATGGGAGAGCAAATCATGCTCACTGCAGTCCCTTCACGATTTCCGATTCACAAGATCTCGACCAAACAGTCATTATGCTGCCTCGAAAACGGTTCCTATAGAAGAACATTGTCGGACCCCACACAAGGGCCATGGTGCTCAAAACCAACATGAAAGTCTGCATCTGCAGTCTTAGGCCAGCTTTTTTTGACACACAGAGGGCAATGCTATGGAATAGCTTCTGTAGTTTTGTTGGGAAACCGAATAAGTCATCGCTTGGGTTTGTTTCTCAAGGAGAAGCCGGCTAGATTTTTGTGTGGTTAAATTTTGGTACTGAGATAAGGCGTGTGCAGATCAGAGGAGTCATTTATGGAGAGAGCAAATGGGCAGTAGTCAATTTCTATCCAGCTAGCTTTATTAATGGATGATTTTATTGGAATAATAAAAAACAGGAAAGAGAAGAAACCGTATACATATAGTGGCGGTGACATTTCAATTCTTCTGTTTTGATGTGTCAAACTTGGCTTTGAAAATCTTTTTCGACCAGTAAAAGCAGAGTACATTGTTCCGGCTAAAAAGAGCTGGCATTTCTTGCGCGCAGAAAGAAGCAAATCGAGCTCGTAAACAAATCAAAATAAACAGAGAAAATTTCCTTTTTGTTTAAAAGCTAAATCAGGCAAAAGGTAATTAACCTAGGAAGGATAAAAGCAGAGATTCTTCTTGGCCATGCCCGTACTAGCTATCATCATATTTTGATTTCACATATATACGGTTCTTAGCAGTACAAAAAAAATTCCGTAACCAAAGACCCAGAAAAGCCAAGGAAAAAAAAAAAAGAAGCCAAAAACATCATAATGGGCAGTGGGTCCTACAGGTATCAACAACATGTAATGTCGATACCTTTACAAACCATTGTGCCTTCCTTGTTAGGCCCAAAAAACCTCCATGCTTGCTTCCTTTACTGATTTACAGACAGGACAAGAGCCAAGAAAAGCTTCACAAGAGTTGCACGAGCAGAGATGCCTGCAAGGGAGAAAGATAATGCACGAGCCTCTAGAATTGCACCCTTTACAAACCATCTTTTTTTGGCTTTCTTGGTCTTGTTCTCTATCACATGAGCCACAACAAGAGGACTCTGCATCTTGGACTTTATTGCTGGCCATGACCAGTCTTTCTCCGAGTTGTTCAAGTGTGTTCCTTAAATCAACGACCATTGATTCCTTTTCTCTTGCAACTCTCTGCCATTGTTCGCTCTCCAGCTCTACTTTTCTCAGGCAGACCTCAAGCTCCATGTTTTTCTTTGTTGCTTGTGCCAAGTACTCATCCTTTTGCCTTATCAAAGACACGACCTTTGATTCTACACTCTTTAGTACTATTCCAAGCTGTTGCTTCCTTTGCTGTTGCAGAGCAGATCTTAGTCTCTCAGCCTGCGTTTGTTTTAGAGAAATTCACATCGATTTTTAGAATTTAACGTTCATTTTCATAAAATAAAATAAAAAAAATTCACACAAAAAAGAGAGGAAGCAACCAAACCCAAAACCCAAAAAAATAACAATAAAAAACAACCAAAACCAAAACTTGACATAGAAAAAACAACATAGCCCAGTTACATTCTCACCTGTAATTGGAGCATGCAATCAACTTCTCGCCTTTGCATGTCAAGCTGAACATCCAAATATTGAGAAAGGGACGTGGAGAAAGAACTATCACAAGTTGTTGAAGAAGACGAAGAACCCCCAATATTACAATCAAAACCAAAGTTTTGAGAGTTTTGTTGTTCAAGAAAGAGATTCTGTTGCTGAGGCTCTTGGAAAGCAAAACCAAAATCAGCTTCAAGCCCTAAAACAGGATTATTAAACATGCAATCCTGTAGGCCACACACAGGCAAAAGGCCAAGTCTTTCTGGATACAACTGTGCTTGAACAGCCATGACAATTACTATTGAAAGAAACTGAGAAAGAAGACAACCAATACCATAAACGTCCCCTTCAATTCACAGCTTTCACGACCTAGCTATTAATAAATAATAATACCATGAAATCACAACGGATACGAAATGAGGGTAGGTTTAAAGCTAGAGGGTTCGTGTTTGTTGTTATATCAGAAGAGATGCATGACCTTTTCTCTCTCTAGAGGTGCGCTCTCTCTTTATGGCACAACCTTTGCCTTCTTTGTTGCTTTGGTTTTCTTTTTTTTTCTTTTTTTTTCTCTGGTTTAACTGAAAGAGACCATAAAGAAAGGAACCCGTGGATTGTTTATATATATACAGTGAGAGAGAAAGAGGCTTAAAAACTGACAAAATCTTATTAATTTTTATTACAATTAATTAATGAGGATTGATGGACATTATTTGTTTGTAATGGTGTAATTAAGGAACTAAAAATGGAAAAGCAATGAATTGGTTGAAATAAATAAGGACAACCCGCAAACCTAGAATTTTTCCCCAGCATGTTACCTAATTTTCAATTTGGTACCAAAAACAAAATATTTAATCAATTGAGTTTCTAATGTTCACACGTTTTCCAATTGAGTCCTTCTATCAATGCTTATTTATATTTTCCATTTACGTGTGCATAGAAAAGTGGGTTTTCAACTGAAATTTAATGCAAAATATCAACAAAACATACAAAAGAGCTAATTGAGAAAGATTTGAATTTTTTTAAAAAAATTCCAAATGATAAAAAAAATTAGTTTCAGGATGGGAATGGAAAATGCAGTAATAGATTGCTAGCTAATTTCTTATCAAATAAAAAGAGTTGGAAAAAAAGTGGTTAATACACAAGCATATATAATTTAGTGATTGTGTATCTGATAATTTTTTTAATGAAGCAAACTGTCGTGTATTTATTAATTATTTTTTAATGAAATAGATTCAAATTGTAATAATTTCAATTAAGTCAGTTATCATGTAATAAAATAAAATTATTCTTGTTGCGTAGCTCGAGGTTCAGGGACTTTTCTATGAATTGAAAACAAAAGGTGACTAGAGTGAGAAAGAGGGAGAGATAGAGGGCCTAGGAGGTTTGTCAAATCCGGATGGAAAAATGATTCCAAGCCCATAAAAAGCATTGATGAGAAAGAGATGTAAAGGGTGGCGCTAAACAACAACGTACACATGCAGATTTTGTGACTCAGACAGAGAGTCACAGAAGTATCGGGTCAGAGGGAGAGGAGGTGGTGTTGATGGAGACATTCACTCAATTGGACGTGAAAGAGTCAGAGTTCAGACGTTACATACAGGGAGGGATCAGAGATTGGGGAAAATCGTCAGTTTGGTCATTGGGAAAGGCTGAAGAATAGCTATTCTTTCTTTTCATTTATCTTCTTAATTTTGGGAATTTTAAATTCCTTGAATTTATTTGATTTCTCTAACATTAATAACGCTATAAAATTTAGCTCTCTCTTCTGTATTTATGTCATGTATCTAAGGTAGCATATCACTTTCCAAAACGACAGATTTTTCAAAGCAGAATTAATATATGAATGGCCTGCAGGCGATTTTGATACGAGTTTCTCGGCTATGTGCCAAATTATATATGTCGTATAAATTCTCGGATATTTTTTATTTAATTTATATATTAATTGGGATTAAATTTATTTTTAAAATAATTTTAAGAACCGTCTCATGTTTAGTGTAAATCTCATGTTATGATCTGATTTTTTTATTACAAAACCTATAGATCGTATGCAATCTTAATAATTATAAACAAAAAGGAGTTAACTATCACAAAATCAATAAATAAAAAGGAGTTTGTTATTGGTTAATATGCATTGAATATGTTAGTAAATAAAACATGCTTTTTTTTTATAATGAAATAAAAACATGCTTGGTTACGATAAAAAAAGAAAGAAAAAACTACATTAATCAATAATTCAAAATTTAACACGTGATTGAATTGACAAATGTTTAAATGTTACAAATTTTAAAATTTATTGCGTGATTCAAATGATAAAAAGAGAATTTTTTATGTTTATTTTAAACTAAATAATTCAATTTATCATTATATATTAATTTTAATTTTTAACAAGAAATTATATTTAAATTTTTAATTTGTTATTCCAATAATTTTTCTGACCACAAACATTTTTTTTTTATCAAAATGATCTTGTTTGAAATACAAATAAAAAAATAAATTTTAAAAATAAAACATACAAGTCATGAGATTTTAAATAATTTTATATTTATTTTTTTGAAGTGTAATCATGCGTATATCTATTAAAAAAAATTATAATCGAAAAAATTAATTGAAATGGTAGATAAAAAACTTAAATATCTATTAAAAAAATAATTGAAATAAAAATATAAAAAAGGATTGAAAAATATATTAAATTTTTTACCTTTTATTGTATACAAATCAGGGAAAATCTTGAACTAAATCAGACAACAACGGGATAAAAACATCCCTAAAACGTCTTTAATTAAAAAAGGATAGACTAATGGAAGCAGGGTCAGTAAACTGGACAGATGCTCAGAACCTTCTGCTCTCACATTTGCAAGAGCATCATCTCATCTACTTTTTATTTTTATTTGATAGCATAAATAATATGTTTTTTTTTTTTCCAAGATTTGAATAGACTGTAGTATGGTAAGATTTAAACTTTACACGTAGCAGCCAGACCATAAAATTACGAACAAACAGTGATATGAAAATACGAAGATACATTAAATGCAAAATGGTTAAGGGATGCAATCCATGGCATAAGCAACAAAATGATAACAGGTAATATCACTGTGTGGGATGTGCAAAATTGGAGCTACGTGACTTGTCCGTTACAATAACTCTCGAGGGGAACAATAAAATCCTGTGATGCCATCAATCTAACGAACAATCAATTGTCAAGAATCTTGTTTCTCGGTTTTCTTAATGAGAATCACTTCCTTACATCTGCATGGTCATTATGAAGGAGCGTCGTTCAGATTAAACAGGCAGCTCGAGACACGGGTAAATTTTTTTGTCAAGAACCAGAGACATCAGACAAGGTTTTAACCGATGAATAGAAAAGTGTGTTGGGTCTTTAGTTCACCCTTTTGCACGCAAAGCTTTTTCTTTGTTTCCAGTTACCTAAACGGTGTTTATCTGTAAAAGTAGTCCTCGTGGAAGCTGTAATGACATCAAACTGGGAAAGCTAAAAAGCTGGAGCGTACCGCCTCTCCAGTGTCATTAAGTTCTTAACCCAAATATCGGCACAACTACTCTGTCTTTTATATATATATATATATATATATATGTTTAAATTTATTCTTATATAATAAAGTAATTATTTAAATTATTTTTATTTTTGATTAAAATAATTTTATTTATAAATATACATTAATTTTTAAATCTATTTTTTTTGTTAAAACTTTCAAATTAAACTTATTCACGTAATTTATATATGATTAATTTTTTAAAATATCTTTACAAATCAGTCAAATAAAAAATTTTATGTGCAAATGATATGATTAATTATAATAATTTAGTATGAAAATCTTATTTTAAAGACAGATTAAGTCATTAATTTTATTTTTCTTTCATTATTTGGAAAATTATGGCATATTTCATCGTATCTTCAATCTTCAGTCGTACAAAGGAGGCCAGTGCTTATATATATATATATAAAGTTCTCATGCTTCGATTTTTACAATTTGAACATTCCGAGATAGAACCCATCACCTAACACAAGGGTAGAAACACTGTTAGGCTTTAAGTGTCTAACGATACAATATGGAAAGCCTGTCTTGCCACCATGGGCTTTTTAAAGCACAAACAATAGATATGGACGGTCCAAAAATATCCAACAGTACAAGACTGTCAGTACGATTTTGCAACTTTCAGATACGAGGAATTTGAACTCTTAGAAGCCTCCGTTTTACTGCTGAATGCAATCCCAAGAGCGAATTATACACCATTTTCATGAGAACCACAGAGGTGGAACTTTTAAATTATCAGTCCGCTTTAATTGTGTTTTGACAATATTTTAGTGCACCAATAAAAAACGCTAAAAGAAAATGATGAATTTCAACATTATCTCCGATGAGGATAACATTATTATGTCCCATTTATCGAATTGTTGAACCAACATTCTTCGGGGAAAAAAATGTTAAATCAACATCTTGCTACTTCGACTACTATTTGGAAAAAAAATTTAGTTCGAGAGCCAACCATATAAACACTATCTAGAACCAAATTTTTGCTTCATGGTAGCGTCATATGCCTCTTGCCTGTTAAAAGCACCAAAAAGAAAGATGGGCTTGGTAGATGCGTGTGAAAAAAAGTACCAAGACAATCAGCGAGAATGTAAGATTTATTTTTCCATATCCATAACATGTAAATACGGTTCAAGATCTGCAGGTTTGCCCTCCTACTAAAACCAATTCTTTGTGTACCCTTTTTTATCTTATTCAACTTATATCAGTGCCTTCCATAGATCTCCAGGTCGAACACCATATACTGAATCAACAAAAATCATCCATCTGTCATGCCTTAATTCTAGTAGGTTCTCCAACTGCAGTTTCCATTCGAGAGTACCATTCACCGATGCTGGTATGCTCCACCATATCTTTACCAGACTTCAAGTATCGGATGGGCCTTAGGACACCAAAAACAGCAAGATCGGCTAAATTAGGCTTTGAGCCACCTGTTAACAGGAAATACAACAGAGCAATTACTGGTTCTGACCAAAGCAAAATCTCAAATTGTAACCAACTAAATACTGACCAAGATCGCCATTGAAGAAAAAAGAAATACTGACCAAGATATTTGCTCCCATTCAGAGCATCCACCCATGTTTGTGCAGCACCATACAAGGCTGCACGCTCATCAGTAATGTTATGTCTCTTCTTCAGTTTTTTTGACACAAAGTACATTGCTGCAGCTCCAGCATACTTGGCCACCAACCTCTCTGTGAAGCTGAAATTGCCTGAATTTATAGGGAGCATCATAAGAGAAAAGCAATTAGCTAAATTAAGAATTCATAACAAACTAACGTAAAAACTTAACCAAATGAAACATCATCGAGATGGATCAAGTAAAAAATTACAATGAGATTAGCCTACTACCGTACCATGGGTGGTGATATAGTCGAATGATTCAAGAGCTTCAGAAGCTGATCGATATATGTTTGGTGACAAAACATGCACCAAGTGATTGTCCACCCACCTCCATTACAAATTTTGCAATATCAGTTTTAAAAGATTATAGCCGAAAGTGTGGCAAAAAATGAAAATACGTAATAATACCAAAATGTTTGAAAATACGGGAACAAACAATTTGTACAAGCAAGCTAACGTAGCACTGAGAAAATATACAAACTATTCTCACTTAAGTAGATTTTAAACCTCTAAATGCCTAAAAAGTCAAGTGTAAGAAATGCAATCATACCCACGCCATTTCCTTTCTTCATCACTGTCTGGGACAGAATTGTCTGGATGTATCCTTTGAAACAATTTATCAATTATCTCTGTGAGTGTAAACATAAAACACGTAAATTTACAAGCACGGTAAAAAATATATAGAACAAATTTGGTGCTTGTTTTCCCTACCATACACCAAACAACATCCAGCTGTTTAACCACAGAGAGTCTAATAAAAAACAAAATGGTAATTGGGAAGGAAACGCCCAGTGACCTGAAGAATCAACCATCTGTTCTCCATCAACTTTCAGTATAGGCACCTTTCTGTAATCAGACCACTTGATCTCCTTTTTGCTGATGGGGTTGACTTCCACGACTTTGTATGGTATATTATAGTAATCCAAAAACGCTGAAGAAGAAAAGGTGAACAAAAGGGGTAAAGCTTTCTTAAGGCCAACAAAGTTAAGAAACTACCAACAAAGTTAAGAAACTAAGTACATAACGTAGATAGTGATTATGAACCCGTAACTTAACAGCTCAACATAAACCTTCCTTAAACAAATTCTATTACCTGCGTCAGAACAGAAAATAATTACCCCATAAACCTTTAAAATTGCATTCATCTTGATTGATAGGTTAAGCTACATGCATTTGTTTGATAGGAATCCATTGTCTGTAAGAAAATATTTCCAGCGATGAAAAAACTTCGCCCCAACGAAAGCCTTTAAGTATGTCTATTGCAAAATAATACTAGTAAGAGCAAGGTTTCTTTAGCTGGAGTACTCAGTTCTAGCACATTAAAAATTCGACCCCTATATGACAATTGAGCTGAATACAACCTGGGAATTGGATAATATAGCAAACCTTTATCCTCATTTATCCTCATTGATAAAGCAGAGTTAGTTTTTAGTGAAAAATCTGGTAGAGTTAGAAACAAATGAGAAAAGAAACTAGAGAGTCAAACAAAAAGAAATCAAATTTTCAACATTTTCATTTTCTAAACCTTCCTCCATTTCGCAATTCCTCATTTTCTTGGAGTCCCCAATTAATGCTAGCAAAAAAAGCTCGAAATTGAATTAATTTTTTTAAGGCAACGAAACAACGCAAACAACAATTTCCCTAATACTCCAATCGCAAAAAAATAATTGAACTAGAAACACAGAAAGCCAAAATTAGATTACCTTTAACCTTGTTACAGAAAGGGCAAGCTTCGTACTGGTAAAGAACAACGTCCTTGGGCATCAACTTCTCCGCCGGCGGCGCTTCCTTGGCTTGCACCTCTTGCGCCAAAGAGGAAGCCGCGACAGAAAAGAACATAGTTCCTGCAACACCGCTCGCGACGGAAGGATTTGATATCCCAAAACGGTCAGCAATTCTCCATGAGAAACACTGAGAATTTGAAGCTGTGTACGTGCTCATCATTGCTGCTCCTTGAACCAGCCGCTGATGAGATGGCGCGCCGGAAATGGCTCGGCTCAGGGTGGTTAGTTGGTTAACTCTTCTCATCGTGGCAAATAAGAACCTGCTTCTCTCAGTCTCTAGAAGTTCGTAGATGGCGTTTGGGTTTAAGCAGGGTTTGATGTATCGTATTAGGGGTTCTTAATTTAATTTCAAAAATAATTTTTTTTTTGCTTTTTTTTTTTGGGTTGAATTTAAGTTTAATGACTCACTTTCCTGTTATGTAAAATTATATAAAAAAAATTTTATAAATATTTTTAACCTCCTAATTTTGAACTTTAAAAAAAATTATAAAATATTATTATAAAAAAACATAATTAACAATACACAATTTCATAAATTAAAATGAGTATAATTATGGGTTGACCTCTCCTGATTTTATAAATTATAAAAAATATATAATATTTTATAAAAGAATTTAAAAATTTAAAAATTAAAGAGATCAAAAATATTTTTATATATAATTTATTAAATGTTTATAATATTTTATAAGGAAAAAAGTTTAAGATTAGGGGTTAATAATATTTTAAAATAAACACGATTAATAACAGAATGCTAAAACGACGTCGTTTTAATATTTCAAATAATGATCAATATACATAATGAAGATTAAATAATTCGATTTATATTTGTTCAATCTCTAATACTTTAGAATCTATGTTACGCAAATTGATGCGATAGGTTCAAAATTATCAAATCACAATAGAATATATATATATATATATATATACGCGTGTGTGTATTTTTTATTTTAATTGTTTTGTATATTGACGTATTTAAAGAGACGTAGTTTCTTGTAATAAATTAAACATATTTTTTTTTCCTATAATGCTTAGTCATTATTATTTTGATTCAATGATATAAATTTTGTGTATTTTTTATACATTGATTCTTAAATAAAAATTTATAATAATCTAAATTAAAATTTTAATTCAAAATTCAAAAAAATGCATTAAAAATATACTTTTCATAACATTGTGAACAAAAAAAGTTACAATTAATGTATAAATTTATACAAAAATTCATAGATAGTGATTTTTAAAAACATCTAAATTTTGAAAAATAAATTATATAAAGCTACTTACAGATTTTAAAATATATTTTAAAACTTTTTGAAGTTTTTAATATAAAAAAAATGAAATTAATTTTTTTTTAAAAAATACTTTAGGCATAGGCCAGCACATTTGGGCCTGGAGAACCAGACCCACGACCTAGAACCAACAGAAAAAAAGAGAGATAGCTACTGCAATTTTCAACTAACTCTGTTTTGTTAGAAATTAGCTTCAAAGTCGGGTTTTATAATTTTTGGCCTTTCAAAATCAAATTTAATCCTTTTTTTTTGTTCAAAAATATCTCAAAATTATATAAATAACATCAATAAACTCATTTAAAACCTCAAAATTTATTTTAATACACATATAACACACAAAACTTTAAATTAAAATAAAAACACTTAAAATATTTCAGGCTTTTGATCTACTTCCTCTTATTATTTCATGACTTGTTACCATCATAAATGCAATCTATTCTTCAAGACTAATGAATTGGAAACGAGTTTCACAATTGAGGTGACTGGAATATGCTTGTTGTCCTTCTCTCTTTCTCTTTTCTCCAAGATGCTAAAAACCAAAATAAAACACAAATAAAATTTGGGATTGAAACAAAAGTTTGTGAATCAGTAAAGGACCAAAGTGTAATTTTGTGCCAAAAAGTGAAAGTCAACCATACATAAACAGTGAGATGTGTGCGAGTGAATAGGAAAATGGACGGTGGCTCACAGTGAACACCCAAATCTTTTGTACATTCTTAGTGTTTTAGCTAATAGCGTTAATAATAATTACATAATTATTGGATGAACATTGAACATTCTTAATTTTGTAATTGCTTTGTTTAAAAAAATTATCCATTTTTTTTATTTATATTTAACAAATAATGTTTGTCTAGTTAAAACTTTAAGTGATATACTTTTCAAAAATACCTCAAATTAAAATATATTTTGTAAAAGATTGTTCAAATATAATTTTGTAAAGTATTTTAGAAAATATAAACAAACCGAATTTAGCATAATAATTAATAATTTTTTTAATATGCATGAAAAATTAAAGAAAAGCAATCTGTTTGAGATGGATAAAGTATTTCTTTTGTCAAAAAAAAAAAACATCTTTCCCCGATAAAAATTTCCACTTTACTTATTTCTCCTCAACTTCTCCTGCTTTTCAAAAATTAAAACAACACCATTAAAAAATAATAATCCGCTATTAACTCTTAAATTTATTTTTATATACCCTTCACAATCCGCTCATACAAAACAAGACAAAACAAAAAAAAATGTTTTCCCAATTAATTATAATTTAGTCTCTCTTATTATTAAAACTAATTAATCATTCCCTACAATACTAACAATAATTACATAATTCCATGACCAATATTGAACATTCTCGATTTTTTTTTCAAAAAAAAAAAAAAAAAATCTTTCAAATAAAGCTTTCAACATTACCTATTTTTCCTTGACTTTTCTACTTTTCAGAAAACAGAATAAAATAAATAACATGAAATATTGTATTATGTCCATTTCAGAAAAATCACTGATATAAATGGTTTGATTTGATGATCTCTAATCAAAGAAGAATGTGGAAAACTTTGACTCCAAAATCATATAGAAAGGAGACGGAAGGATACAAATTTTTATTTTCTTACTCTCGTCTCAGGGTGCTGAGGTAAAATAAAAGTCTACAGCATTTTGGCCATGTCACATTGCCTTGGAGGGGTAAATTATAAATTAGTTCCTCTAATTTGCAAAATAATCTTATTTAATTAGTAATTATTATGACTAATTTAATATTAGTATTTTATTCTAAAAAAATCTTATTTTCTTATAATCTTTCCATGTTTTCTATTTATTAAAATTAAAAACAAAATAAATTGAAAATAAATGAAAAGGATTATGTTGTAAATAAATTTAAAAATAAAAGGACCAATTAATAATTATCAAAAGTGAAAAGACTATTCGGTTCATTTAAAAAACTAAAAGGACTCATTTGTAATTTACTCCATATGGAACTGGGCGAGTGAAAATTTTGCCTATTAAGGACGAAACTTCCACAAACCATCTTATTTCCCAACGTTTTCTTCTCTTATTATTCTAAATCCATCAACGCAGACGAACACGCCCTCTAGCCGCGTTAATACTTCACAGCATTAAATAAAACCAAAAGTCAAGTCACCGTCAACAGCATCTCCTTACCGCGTTCACACTGGCTTACACGCTCACCGTCCACGGTCGACAACATATAAATGGATTATAATCCCTGAATCCAATTTGAAACCATCTGAGTTCCCATTTCTCTTCTCTCTCTCTCTCAGTCAAGCATATAATCAAACACTTATTATTCTTTTTTTTCTTGCTTTCAAATCTCTCTTTTACTGCTACTACTTAGTTGTTATGGAAATCTCGCCTTTCCCATTTCTTAATCAAGAAGAGATTTCACATTTGCACAGTCTCTTTCAAGAGATGGATAAAAACACTTTGACTCCCACCACCACCACCAACAACAACGCTTATTTGAAGAGGCGAAGAAAGGAGGGTGAAGATGATGAAGGTGGAGTGAAGAAAATCAAGAGTAGTGCAAATAATAATTCAGTAATGAGCGATATAATCGCATCTCTTATTTTATTGGATGAGGAGGAAAAACAAGAATACCAACAGTCGGCTATTGAGTCTGAACAAGAGAAGGCTGCTTTGGATTGGAATCATAAGCAAAAATTTCTAGCAATGAATGATTACCACTCTAACCTGCAGACCCATTTTTCTGATGTAGACGAACTAGATCATTCAATAACTAAACGTCGCCGTGCTGCTTCTGTAGTTGCGGCTGCCGGGGCTGTAACTGAAACTGCCGGGGCTTCAAGTGAACAAACTGGGTCCGGAGGAGGGTCGGGTCAGCAGCAACAACATCGGCGTTTATGGGTGAAGGATAGGTCAAAGGACTGGTGGGACAAGTGTAACCACCCTGATTTTCCTGAGGAGGAATTCCGAAAAGCATTTCGGATGAGCAAGGCTACGTTTGATATCATTTGCGTGGAGTTGGATTCTGTTGTGACCAAGAAAAACACAATGTTGCGTGATGCCATTCCGGTTCGCCAACGCGTTGCTGTTTGTATCTGGAGGCTTGCTACCGGTGAGCCTTTAAGGCTTGTGTCGAAGCGGTTTGGATTGGGGATCTCTACTTGTCATAAACTGGTTCTTGAAGTTTGCTCAGCCATAAGGAATGTCTTGATGCCTAAGTTCCTTCAATGGCCCGATGAGGAGAAACTGAAGACGATTAAGGGAGAGTTTGAATCCATGTCAGGGCTGCCTAGTGTTGGTGGATCAATGTACACTACTCATGTGCCGATTATTGCTCCAAAGATTAATGTGGCGGCTTATTACAACAAGAGGCATACTGAGAGGAATCAGAAGACATCGTATTCGATGACAGTTCAGGGAGTTGTGGATCCTCAAGGTGTTTTCACTGATGTTTGCATTGGTTATCCTGGTTCAATGCCTGATGACAAAGTGCTAGAGGAGTCGGCTTTGTTTAAGAGGGCTAATAGAGGGGCTTTGAAGAATGTTTGGATTGTTGGGAATTCTGGTCACCCTTTAATGGATTGGGTTCTGGTGCCTTATACACACCAAAATTTGACATGGGCACAGCACGCTTTCAATGAGAAGATTGGGGAGGTTCAAAGGGTTTCTAAAGAGGCATTTGCTAGATTGAAAGGGAGATGGTCATGCTTGCAAAAGAGGACTGAAGTCAAGCTTCAGGACTTGCCTGTGGTTCTTGGGGCTTGTTGTGTGCTCCATAACATCTGTGAGATGAGAAATGAAGAGATGGGTCCAGAGCTGAAGTTTGATCTTTTCGATGATGATATGATCCCTGAGAATAGTATTAGATCCGCTGGTGCAATACAAGCAAGGGATCACATTGCTCACCATCTCTTGCATCATGGCCTTGCTGGGGCTTCTTTTCTTTAGCGATCTGAATTATATTATGCTTTCGTGGTTGTTT